CTCCTCCTCCTCCTCGTGTTGGGATGCAGGATGAGACTTAGACTTATCCGAGGGCGCCGCGCTCTTCTTCCTCGGCCCAGCCTTCGTCGCTCCCTTCTTCCCCCCGCCCTTGGTACCACCACCACCAGCACCACGACCGCCGCCGCTCAGCTTCCTCTTCTTAAGAAGGAGCTTCTTCGCCTTCTCCTTCTCCCGCCGCTCTCTGGCATCGGCGGCCTTCTTGAGCCGAGCTTCAGCACGTTTGGCCACCGCCCGCCGCTTCCGCTCGCGTGCCAGCTCTCTCTCCGCGGCCTCTCTCTCCTTCCTGTACCTGTTTGCCTCGTTGGCGAGCCCTGCTTTCCACTGCTTGGACTGACGCTTCAGGGCCGTGTGGGCGAGGATATGCTCGGCTAGCTGTTTACCCCAAGGACGAAACCGACACATGGAAAGTTCCCGGAGCATTATGTTTGGTGAGGGATTCGTGTTGGCGAGGGTCCAGTCTGCAGCAGCGGTTCTAAGAGTATGCCAAGAGAAATATTGCGGATTTGAAGAAAATATAAAGCGACATGTGCCGCCCATGAGGAACTCATATACTTGATGGCACGCCTGTAGACAACCGGAACTCAGATGAGTGTTCTTGGCCTCTCCTGGCTCTCTCTTAAACCGTACCGTAGAGGACGCTACAGTGCTGCTGTGCAGGACGTTCCGGAAAATGTGCCAAGGGAGAGCGGGATCGACCGCTCGAGAGTAACGAGCACGGGGAATCGTCGTCGCCACGATAGCTATGGTGGGAATAAATACAGATGGCGTCATGTATTTTAGGTCTATTTAGAGTGCGACAGTCGACAGAGCGTTACGAACTCTCTGCTTGCAGTGTGTTACAGGCACGCAGATAAGGAGGCGTGTTGGTTCCGTAGACCCCAAGTCCCAAAGTGGGCCGCACAAATACTTCGGATGTGTTGAATCTTTGTATCCATGCGTTACCAGACCGGGGAAGATAGGAGGGCGGGGCAGACCGAAGACACCCCCGGTCACGACATGCAGACTGAAAACGAGCATCGGCGGAGCCGCAAAGGTAGTATATCTACCAACCGAGCAACCAGCGTCGATCGTCGACATCACCCACGAGGGGAAAAGAAAAAAACAGGCAGAAGCGAAGGCTGCTGCAACGATGGCGGGAGGCACGGACAGACGGGCAGGGCGATTCGATACGCATCACAATCAAAGCGAAAAAAAAACGAGAAAAAGTACCCAAATAGTCGCGCCGCTTCATCCAAAGCCGATACGTGCGGAATCAGAATACTATCGTTGTCACCTTTTCCTTCTCCACCGGTTTAGCTCCCTCCTCGGGGTCGACCAAGTGCCCGTAACCCTGGTACCCCCAGCCCAACTCCCGGAGGAACCTGTACGCTTCAATGTCGCTCAGCATGTCCGGATCGGGCGGTGCCGACTTGCTCCGGGTTGTCCTCGCCCCTCCTGCCGTCGATCGCTCGGGCACCGGCGGTGCCGATTGCCGTCTCCTCACCACCGCGGCCGCCGGTCGCTCCTCTGGCTTGGAAAGCGGCGCGGATTGCCTTCTCACCGCCGCGGCCGCAGGTTGCGCTGTCCTCCTTGCCTTGGACCGCTCCCACTCGGTGAACTGCTGCAAGAGGCGAGGCCGGCTGCGAACATACTCTTCAAGCTGAGGAGGGGCGGACGAAAAGGACGTGTGCGCGTGGGTGCGTGCGTGCGTGAGTGAGTGCGTGAGTGTGTGCGTGCGTGCGTATTAGTAAGACAAACCAACCAAGATCATTGCGTGAGTGCAGCAGCACGTGCCGACCAGTGCTTACCGGCGGCGGCGGCGGCGGCGGCGGCGGCGGCGGCCTTCGCCCTGAGAGGCCAAGCGTGGAAACACATGAACGCCCCCTCTGCGGCGACTACGTTCATCTACGTGATTCACAGAGTTATCATCAACGGAAGAAAAATGGTAACCTTATCCTGAGCACTGCTCCGAAACGCACGTCCTAGCCACACTACTGCAGCCAAAATCACCACAACGCCACTTGTCTCATGGATTACCGTATCACATACAGTCTCCACGCGGAACCCCCATGCCAGGAGGGGGGGGGGGGTCNGGGGGGGGGGGGGGGGGGGGGGGGGGGTCGCAGACTAGAAATCGTTGGCATTTGTTCTCTCGCGCGCACGGGCGCCTATTCATTTGGAATGGGCGGTGGCTCGATCGACGACGCTGAAAAAGGTTACAACGAGGCCTCCGGGGCCGGCTCACCTCCAACGCACCCATGCGCTTTCCTTCGTCTGGCTTGATCATGGTGTCCCAGCTTGATGGTGCGTACTCCCAGCCCATAATTTCCCTTAAGAAATTGGTCAAGCTTTGCTGGTCGAGTATTTGCAAGCCCGCTGCACCCTTCAACTGGCCTCTCGTCGTACGCGCCGGCTGTGCAGGTTGGGGAAAGCAAGCACGATGTTGCGGGTCAAAGATGGGGCGGTGTGCGGGCGTGCACGAGAGGCCGCAGAATACGACAAGAGCTGGGGGGGGGGNTTCGGCATCTTGTGCTTACTTCCTTGCGTACGGATGACAGCTGCGTATGACTAAATTTATTTTCTGGTGCTTTCACTTCCTGAGACAGTCGTAAGCACTGTGTAACTGCCTCGAGGATGCGTGACCATTTCAACACAACGTGGTGCGATCATCCTCCTTGCGCTGAGTGAGGGTTCTCGACAACGCACAACATGTCTACTCGACCACCATTATGGTTACCGCAAAAAAAAAAACGGAGCTAAAAAAAAAAACGGGTTGCCGAGTCCACGAAGTGAATTGGCTTGTTTTACAGCGTCGTTGCCAAGCGACGAAAACCCAACCTCGATGGCAAACACCGGGGGGGGTCGTGAATTATGGCCAATTCTTTACATTTGGAATATTTTGAGGAGGCTGCTCACTCCGACCGCCAATTTTCTAAGCGTGGCGTGTGTTGTTCGTTGCCATCTACGATCAGGGGCAAAGTTGTTTACCCCTCCGTACCGGACAAGAGCCAAAGCTGACCGGCAATGTACAGTAGGCAAGACTATCGGAAACTTCTCGGCAGGAATCTCATCGTTTGCAACGCCGACTCGTGCTACAGGCATCGGCAATCCTCGTCAAGCCGGCTAAATACCCAACATTGGTCCAGGCGGAGGCGGGGGGGAAGGGTTGCGCACAACGATACACCAACTCATACCGGCCGTACCCAAAATATCAACCCCAACCAACCGATGGCGTACAGTTTTGGCGCGGGGAACAGTGCGGAGAAGGGAGAAGCAGCGGCGCACTTCCCAAAGAGGAAGGATACCATCGAAAGTAGGTCCTATGTTGCCGTCATCACGAACGTTTTGGCCGTAGTGCGGATCGACTCCCGTTTCTTTCTGTTCCTATATAACGTGCGGAAAAACAAACGTAGACAGAGTAGAGCCCTCGCCAGTTCCACTGTACTGCTGTGTACCTTGCAAGATGTCACCCCCGCTCCGCCGGCATGCCCTAGACTTGCGGGTGTACCCGCCCCCTCCTCCCCCCCCTCCTCCCCCCCTTCCCCCTCCTCCTCGTCCTCGTCCTCGTCCTCGTCCTCGTCCTCGTCGTCGTCCTCCTCGTTCTTGTCCTCCTCCTCCTCGTCTTCGTCTCCATCGTCCCGCTGTTCTCCTTCGCGAGGTTTCCTCGCAACCGGCGAGCAACTGTCGCCTGCCTCCTTGCCCGCCAAGTACTCATTGTACTCCGCCAACAGTTCTGGGCGGTCGACCACGTACTGCGGAAGCTGCGGGCGCGGAGCGGCAGGGGGAAACATAGGTGGCGTTGGGGGCATGAGCACGACGTGGAGCCATGTCCAGGAGAGCATGCGAGCGTTCCTGGTACGAAGCTGTAAAAGGGATTGACCTGGGTATATGGCCCAAAGGTGTAAGTGAGATCTTTCAGGGGCATGAACAACAGCCTTCACGGCGCCCCTGACACACTACATGTGCGGCATCGGCTGCAAATCCTAGCTGCAAATCCCGAAGGCTGCCGCAGCAGAAGCAGCAACAGCAACACAAGTAGTAGGAGCGCAGAGTCAGAAGCCTGACAACAACTACCATCGACGACGACAACGGCAACGACATTTCAATGACAACCGCGACAACAGCTACCTCGGCAACGGCATTTCTTCGCCGACACCAACCGGTTGAAAGCCCAATGGGTCCAAAATCACCCGTATAAAAAAAAAGCTCCAACGCTGACGGCATGCGCTACCCACCTCGGCTTCCTCCAAGGGCTCGCAACCGTTCTCGGGCCCGACCACAGACCAGCCGTGACCTGCGTATTTCCACCCTTTTTTTTTCGCCATAAACGCGTACAAGCGCTTCTGATCCGGCAAATTAGAAGTTCCTCGCGTCCTCCGTCTCACCGGCCCTCTGGGGGATTCTCTACCCTGCCCGTTCCGCCCTTTCTCCTCTTCCTCCTCCTCCTCCTCCTCTTCCTCCACCTCTTCCTCTTCGTCCTCCTCCTCCTCTTCGTCCTCCTCCTCTTCGTCCTCCTCCTNTCCACCTCCTCCTCCACCTCCTCCTCCTCCTCCCCCTGCTCTTCCTCCTCCTCGCCTCCCTCTTCCTCTTTCTCTTCCTCCTCCTCCTCGCCTCCTCCTTCCTCCTCCTCCTCCTCGCCTCCTGCTTCCTCCTCCTCCTCCCCACTCTCTGCGCTCTTTCCCTCCTTCGAGGAGGCCCACTCGTGGTACTCGGCCAACAGCGTTGGGTGGGCGGCCAGGTACTGCGGGAGCTGCGCGTAACGGCGGGCGGGAGAACAAACAGCGAGGAGGAATGTTGGCGAAGTCCGCGACGGTGCCGCGCATCGGAAATAGTGCCGAAGCCTGCCGGGGGCGATGTGCCGGTGTATTGGGAGCGCTGTACCGGTGGTAAGAGAGTACGTCGAGTGCATCACCGACCAGGTTGACACGAGCCGGGGTGAAGACCTCAAAGCTCTCCCAAACCAGCAACAACAACAACAACAACAACAACAACAACAACAAGCGCACAAAAAAAACACGACAAATGCAACAACAGCAACACCGCCACATCTACTTAACAGCAGTACGCTTGTGCGCCAAAATCTTGCCAGCGACAACAGTAGTCAGCACTGCACCTTCCGACCCTCTGCAACAGCAGCAGCAACCCCCACCCCCCCCGGGTGCCACACGCCCGAGCCTGCACGTCTCACCTCACTCTCCCTTTTGGGCTTCGTCTCCTCGCCGGGCGGGCTCAGCCTAAAGCCTTGCCCGTGGGGAGGTTGTGTCCAGCCCTTCTCCTCGACAAGAAAGCTCCAGGCGTGCACCCCGGCGGGCAGCGTCAAGTTCGCCGTGCCATTCGAACGCCCTCGCGTCACCCGAGGCTTCGGCGGCGAGAACACCCGACGCTTTCCCTCCTCCGCCTCCTCCTCCTCCTCCTCTCCTATCTCGTTTTCGCATGAATCCCCTGCCGCATGCTCTTGGTAATCCCCAACGCCGAACTCGCACATTTCTTCGTTCAGGTCTCCAACCTCTCCCTCCTCGCTCTCAGGATCCGCGGCGGCCGCCGCCGCCCGCCCCGACGGACCTAGCCGTAGCGATTTCTCGGCCCCGCTCCCATGATCTCCGGTGCTCTCACTCCCCCCTCCTCCCTCCTCTTCCCCCTCGTCCGCCCGCCTTCTCGCCGTCTCTTCGGTGCCGGTCGTGTCGTCGTTCGATGTTGACTGAACCATCCACTCCCCGACGTATTCGGTGCCGCGGTCAACCTCACCGGCATCATCACCACTACCGCCGCCGTCGCTTTCCTGCTCAGCCCGGTCCTCGTCGAGCAGGACGGTGGGCCCCGCCCCGCCGTCGTCCCGCGGCGCGGCCGAAGGCTGGTCTTCCTGCGTGTCGCCAACCGGCAGGGGCTCGACACCATCATCATCATCCTCTTCTTCCTCGCTGGAATCTTGATCACTATCGTCCTCTTCCTCTTTGCTGACAACCTTACCCTCCATTTCTTCCTCAGCGACAGCGCCTGGCCAAGGGGAGTAGACGTCCTCGTCGGGGACCCCCCCCCCTGCCCTTGGAATTCCCGTATGCCGGGTCCCTGGATCCTGCGACCTTCCTCGACGAGCCTGCTGCGTCGGCAAGGTCAAGAGGGGGGCACGACGAGAGCAGGCCGGGGGAAGACTTCTCTCACGTTGGCGCCTTTTGCTTGCAGTGAAAGCAAGAGATGAGGCGAAAGCGCTTCAACTCTCGCTGCGCTTCGTTAAGTTGCAACAAAGAGGATTATCTTTCCCATAAAGGTCTAGGGAAGTACGCATTTTGTAAGCGTGTAATGGTAACAAGCACGTTGATCTAACCACTAGGTGCTGCGACAAAGTGAGCGCTACAGGTACAGAGGAACACGGAGAAATAGACAGAGGAAGTAGGGGCCGAGCATCAGCGCAGAGTTACCCAGAAAGTCCTATACGGCAGGTTGCATAAGATTTCATGCCCCCTGGATCGATCTTCAGGGCTCGATTACTCCGCGACGACGAGGATGCCAACATCAAACGATGCGGGTTCGAAAGCTTTCCACGAGACGGTTCCAACGCCTCCCGCCGTTTTCGGCACCGCCGCTGTTTCTGTTTATCCAGGAGGTACGGCTTGTTGCGCAACCTACAGCTGTAGACTTCATGAAATGCTCGACCTTCGCCCCAAAACAGGGAAGTCATGCTGGGTCTGATGGATTTTCATAATCGGGCCTGTACTGCTGTTGTGTGCCCATCTCGTTCTTGCCCGCAAACGAACCACATCCAACAGCAGTATCCATTCCCCAAATGCACGCACACACTCGACAAAACGTCCCAGTGTGAACGCCTCCTCGTCATCGGCCGTGGTCCTTGGTCCAGATAGTACGTTCCACAGCAGTTGCGGCGGATGCCCCCCCCAGACTGCTGTACAACATGTACAGCATGTACAGCAGTACTGCTGCTCTTTCATGCCGCTATACATCATGTACACAGGTTGGGAAGATGCCACACCGCGTGGACGAATTTTCTAAGCTCGATTACTCCGCGACGAAGAGGTATGCCTAACTCAATGATAGCTTTCCGGAAAACTCTCGACGAGACGGTTCAAATGCCACCGCCATTTTCGGCACCGCTTTCCTACCGAGCAATCGAACTTTGAAATCGGTCGAGGGGGGGTGGGGTGATGTCTTGCGCAACCTGTGTAGTTTCAACGGGCTGACTGCTGTACCAACGAACAATGCCAACGTTTCCCTCTCTGAACCGGGTGCACTGCTGCAGCGGAAAGAAGGGTGACTGCTCTCGGATTCAAGCAAGAAGCTCGGGCCTCACACTCTCCCTGCTACCACAGCAGTACGGCGACCTCACGTAATAGGCTAAATAGACGCCGACGCGAAGCCGACAAGGTCGGACAACTCACTTTGCCGACGGGCGATGAGCCACTCAGTCCTTCGACCGAGCTGATGGATCCGCCGGTTCCTTCGACACGGCAGTTCTCATCCCCTCCGCTACCAACGCTGGCACCACAACTGCTCCTCTGTTGGCCTTCTTGCTCGTCCTCCTCTTCTCCGTCGCTGTTGACCTCGATCTTCTTCCAGTGGAGGGGGGCATCAGCCGTCCTGAAGGTGAACTGATCGTCCTTGGGAGGTTTGCTGCCACTTTGCGCCCAATACCTGATGAGCTGGGGCTTACTCCCGCATCTGTCGTTCTTACCGCCATAAGGAGGACAGTACCAGAGCACTTGGCCTTTGCCATCGCTAGCGTAAGTCCATCCCGCATGGCCGCGGCTGCTGCTCCGACGCACGCGCCTAACCGGCGACCGCATTAGCCCGTCTGTTTCGCGCGTTCACTGCTTTGGTACAGCAGTGCTTCGTATTCGAAAACTATGCTCGAACCACGTTGTGCCCATCCAAAAACCACCGCGACAAGCTAGTTACCATGTGAGTCTGACGCTGTGCATTGGCGCAGTTCTGCAGCTTTCCCGCGGAGGTTGCTTGGACTCGAAGGCTTCAGGCCGGGGATTATTCATTCTGTCCCCGGATATTCAAAAAATATTTTAAAAACCAGACATGCTCAACTAGGTGTCTGGAAACCCGGAAATTAACCCCCTCTCGGGCGTCCTGCTTGCCTCTCTGTGTAGCTGGTCTTGTCTACTTACTCCTTTGGCGCCATTTTTTGAGTGATTGCTGACCTACTACTGCCGCTGCTGCTGCTGCTGCTGCTGCTGCTGCTGCTGCTGCTGCTGGAGTGTGGCGGGTTGGGTTCCAGGATGGCGAATGATGCTGGCGACAGCAAGGAGGTGGGGAACCCGTCACTGAACCCGGATGTTTGTGCTCGCATGATCGAGTTCATGCGAGGACAGTGCACGGCGAAGCAGTAGGGAGAGTGGTTGACTGTGCCTGTCGAGCTCGCAGCAGCACGTGGCGAGAAAGAGCTGACGGGAGAGCTGCTTCGGGCGGGGGAAGGCGGGGGTCCAATCTATGAGGCCATACAAGCTGGACAACACGACGTCGTCAAGCACCTGCGCCAGGAACCGGAGCACCATCACCTCCAAGTTGCTTTGGGAATCGGCGATGAGGCAATTGTGTCCTTGTTGCTGGAGCTTGGCGCTGACGCTGGCCCAGAAGACCACTGGATGTACGGCGATTTGTTTTCACGCCAATTCACCTCGCTGCAAAGGCAGGCCAGGCCGGGATAGTAGGCATGCTGATGGATGCCGGGGCTTGCGCAGACCGGTGGGCCAACGAGGACACGAGTACTTGGGAGCAGAGGCGTGACCCCCGAGTACGATTGGCGTGGTATACGGATGACGGAGAATGCGTTGCATTTGGGTGCGATTGGGGGACACGTGGACGTGATCGAGGAAATTATCAAGCGTCAACCATCAACCATGAGCTCGGTGGCGGAGTGTACGGGCTACACCGCTCTGCACTACGCCGCCAATCAAAGCCAACTAGGCGTGATCGATGCACTCGTTGAGGCCGGGGCGGACCTCGAAGCTGAGGGCGGCCTGGGAGTCAGCACTGCTTTTCACGTTGCCGCTGAATCCCACGCTGCTGGCTCTGCTTCGGCACGGCGCCAAGGTCGACCCTATCCGGAACGGCAGCGAAACCTCGCTCAGTGTGGCAGTCGAGGCTCACAATGTGTGTGCTGCGAAGGAGCTTGCCTCGGCCGGTGCCGACGTGAGGGAACACCCACTTCGCGAGTCGGCCGAGAAATGGTCGAACCACATGCTGATCGCCATGTTGGGACACGGCGCCCACGTCAACACGAAGGGAGCGTCCGACGGAAACACACCGTTGCACCTGGCCGCGGAGAAGAGTTTCAGGGTCAAAGTAGACGTTCTCTTGCAGGCAGGTGCCCACGAAACCGCTGTCAACCATAATGGTCAAACCCCGTTGGACGTGATCGGACTCAACACAGATACGATGAGGACGTTGGTATTTGGTAACCACCGCGAAGAGGATGCCATTCGGACTCTGCTGGTGAACGCGCCCAAGGAAGGGCGAATAGAGCGTGGTCTCGTCGGGGTTTCTTTGTGATGTGTCGCGCTTTCCCCGAGAGGGTGCGGCTGCAGCTGGTGCCGTCGGGGGACGACAGGGTCAACGTCGTGTGCTCCAACGTATAATCCCAGGCACCCTCCAGTGGAAAAGATGATGAACCCTCGGATAACCGCAGCAACGCAAAACGAGTAGCAACCGCAAAGGAGACCGGAGGTGTGGAGGGGCCACCGTCAGACGCTCCCGTCGAAGAGGGCGCGACGGCGTTTCGGGCTGCGATGGGCAGGCTGATTGGGCTTGAGGTGGAGGTCGTGTTCAGGACGGTCTTGGAGTTCGTGTGATGACTGAAGCCGGAGGTGAGACGGTGCCATAAGGATTTTCTTGTTCAAGTGGAGCCCTGCTTTGCAGCAATACCTGGTCATGCGCATTTTTACGGCCCTTGCGTGCATATCCTCATCGTACCTTGAAGTTCGTCGAGTCAATGGCCCAATCAGTTCCATGGCAATGTCGACGATAGCACCCCTCGCCCTCTCGCCCTTCGGCGTAAAGTGGTTTACGACGTGTGTTCCACTGCCAAAGGCCTACGCGGAATCAAACCGAGTTGTTCTCAGCGGAGGTCATACCGAGCGTCTCAGAAGATTGCATTTCAACTAGAAGCACACACACCTAGTCTAAAATTTAGTCACAACACGGATTTGCACCACGCCTCGTGGCTTGCTAGAGCAGCTTTGCTGGTTTCTTCGTTCTTAGTGAGTCTGAACGGCGTTCGTTGTCCCCTCAGCTTCCCTCAGCTTCTTTTACCCCTCAGCGGTTGTGCTCCGGGCACGGAACGCCACCTCTCCCCTACCCTCCCTGGCTTATCCTCGGTGTGTAGGCTTTAGACTTATGTTACCTTCCATCTCTCCAATCGTTTATTTGCTTTCGGTTTGACAATGTGTGTCCAGCAGGAGCGGGTGCGGCCTAGATGGCTTGCCGTGGCGGGTGAGGTTGGCTACAGATTCCGCCGCCAGCAAGACAGCGGCTCGGTGCTCGCGCCGGGCAAAGTAGCATATGAGAACCTATCTATGCATCAAGGCAACATGTAGGCAACAGGTATCCCCAATGGTAATCAAGAGCCCGAATCTCAATCGATAGAGCAGGTCCTTAAGAACGCGCGCCTACTTTGGGCAAGATTGGCGTGGTAGATAACATGTTTCTGTTCGAGGGGAAAACTCGCTATGTGACTTGCTGCGTTTTCTAGGGGTTTGGGGTACAACAGTGCTGAGTGGTCCGTTCCTGTTTCTCTCATCCTGCATGTCGAAGGAATATGCGATCAATGCTATGCTGCTGCTCTATTTGCAAAAGCGACGGTAACGTTGTTGAGCTCCATAGATAGGTTACTTTTGTTAAGTCGATCGCCAGTTTGGGTGCAGAGAAGCGTACGAGAGGTGCTGGGGTCCTTGTTGTCGAGCTTATCTCCCGTGGGTGCAAGTCCATGCTTTGTGACAAATACACTGCCCATTTGGTCTCCATATCTTCACCTTTGTTCTCGTTCCATCGATGACAGGCGAGACGTAAAGTCTTGCTTTATTATTTGGTGACGTTCTGGTGTCGTGGTTCGGGGTTTTATTTCGAGTAGGCAAACGTTACTGATGTTCGTTGTGGACTGTTTCGTCCAGCGCTGCAAGATCCAGACCGCTTTGCAGCTCTCAGTTGCAAGTACTAGCTATCTATGCCGACAAGTAGCGTCGGCTTTGCGGGTCCGAAGCGTGCTATGTACTTTTTTGCTAAGGGCCGATCGTCGTGGCAGGGGCAGCGTCGTCCACGATCGTTCGTCACGGCGGCAGAATACTAGTTGATCGACGAAGACGCCGCGGAACGAAACCTCACAAGAAAACAAGCTCCCAACAAACACTGTCGCTGGTGGTACAAGAACTTCGTATGTACGCACGTACATGACTGCAGGAACAAGCAGCCCCCGCGCGTGATGCTAATAGTTTACGCGGTCGTTTCTGGCCGTCGTCGTTTTTGAACGGTCTGCAGCCGTACATGCGGGCCTGCTACTCTAGCGATCGACGTGGGATACGTACATAGTCTAGTAGTGCTCGATGGACTAACCAACCTCGGTGCGCCTCCGATATTTTCGTGGAAATATCGCAACCCAGAGAAAGTCTCGTGCCCGGCACGCCGACGGTCGACCCTTTTCCACTTGCTGAAGCCACGGGCATGTTCTGTCGCATGCCATCGGCGCTGCTGATGTAGTCGGTGTGATTGTGGCGTTCAAGGAAAGTCGGCGCGTGCTCGTGACGTGCACGTACAGCTTGGCGCTGCCTGCCGGAAGAATGGAAAGAAGAGGCACCGCTGGTCCTCGTGATGTCAGTTTGGCTTGCTATGCTTGCGATGTTTTTGCGAATGGTGTGACTACGGTTTGTTTTACAATAGAAAGTTGGAGAAAGTGTGCAAACAGGCTTCTCTTGTGGTTGGGATCAAACACCATCGCGATATGTTGAGGGTTGTTCATTCTGCTTTCGTACGTGTTGCTGGGCGTAGTCGACGAAGCACTCTGGGCTTTGAAACAGAGCAGGTCATCAACGTTTTAGGTGGATGGCGCTTGCGGATTGCCACGCCAACCAACGCGTCTCCGCACAGGTGCGGAGTTTTTGCGTCCCAGGTGCGCTACAAGTACCTCAGGGTGGAGACAGGCGTTGTAGTCCAACAAATCGGCCAGGGAACAAAAAGGGACTGATTGTGCCGATGGGCATGCACAACCAATCTCCGCCCAAACGCGAGGATGTGCCTTTGCTGTGCCGGATTGTTCGATGGGTGCCCACGTCGTGTTGTAGAAATTCAACGGCGAGTTTTGGCGAGAGAGAGCCGTAGATACTCTACAAAGTGAAGATCGCCGCGGAAAGTTCAACAGGTTGTTTGCAAACTGCAAACATTGGCATACCAGATGCCACGATGGTGTTGGATGTTGATTGGGGGAAAAGGACTGTAGCATACCTGTTTGGGAGGTGGTCTTACGCAGGTCCTCAATCATCTCATTGCTCACCGGGAATAGAGTAAGCGCATATTCAGCCACAGCTCAACCCTGAAGGCATAATAACAAGGTGCCCCTGCGAGAAACAACTAGCAGCGTCCTGCTACCGGTGACTTCAACAACAACGACTCATGCTTTCCGTAGGTGACTGTGCAGAAAGGATCACAAAATGATGTTTTTCCCTTTGACACTTGGGGTACATAGAGAGGCCAAGAAATAGAGAGAGCAGGGTGGTGCCACAAATGTGGTACGCCTGCTAATGCCAGCAAGTGGCACATGGGCAGATCCGTCTACAAACCAGTGGTCTCCCGGGTTCCCGCGGTTTCTCGGAGCGCTGCCAAGAACCGGTTCTCTCTACAAATTGAACTTCAAAAGGGTGTTCGCATGAATATTGTCTTCAAGGATACCTGTCACCACAGCAACATCAACAGGCGCCCACAGAACAATTTCCCACCAGCACCACACACTCCATCACCCAAGAAACCTAACAACAGCTCCGGTCCGACTATAGCGCCGTTTACTCTCTACCCAGAACCACCCTACAGACAACACTCCAACAAGACATGCCACATCGCATAAGACTGAGCACCTTTGCAAGGACGACACACTCCCAACAAAGCGTTCGCCAACTTCTGTATCAAAATGACTGCAACTACACGGCGCGAGCCACCCTGCACAGCCCCCGTCTCCAAACTACGCCCCTTCCTCACGCCCACCGCCCCGTCCCCAACAACGAAGCACTAACTCCAAGCACCCTCATGTTCAGAGATGCGCGTTGGTGGAAACAGACGAGTTGACGCAGCTGGTGTTGCTTTTGGCAACCACAAAGCGAACTCCCACCATGTGACCACAAAAAGGTGCTTGTCCACATACCAAACCAAAAACATGCCTACAAATTGCGAACATGATTCGCACCGCCGTTATGGAAAAACGTGGATTTTCCACCCTTTGATCCGTGCTTGGCCACTTCTGAAACGCCACTCCTACAATCTTCTGCCACAGCCCCTTGCTTTAATATAAAGCGAACAGCAAGGGCGACGTCATCTTGGTCGTCGTCAGCTGGAGCGTCCAGCTGACAAACAAACGCTTGCCTCAGCATAGTAATTGGATCAGTCGCATGCACGATCCAAACGTCTCAGGGACAGACTTTTTCTTGTAGCCTCGTTAGGACACCCACCACTCGCCAAACTCTGACACACACACAAAACACGCACGAGATTCAAAACATCGACACCACGTTTCTTGTACTATCCCATCATTCCAGGAACCGCTTCTAAATGTTGTTCCCCGCAGGCGCACACGAAAGCAAGCAACCGAACCACCCGAATCTGATTGCAACTGCTCCAACCACCATAAAAATCGAGGTTCGCCATCTCGCCCCCCGAAGCTCCTGGTGCGCAAGACCAAGGACAGCTACAGGACAGCTACAGCTACTCTTACCGCTGATGTTGCATCATCTAGATAGCCCAACAACTTTGGGTCTCCTTGAACGCCACCCAATCATGCAACTACACCCACCGCGACAACAAAAGACAGTAGTTACCATACAGATGCACACACAGCAGAAGCCTAAAGAGTCGATCACACACAACACACGAAACAACCAAATCTTCCCCCCATAGAACACTGCTCCAAACATCACGTTGCCTCTTTCGTCACAAGGAACAGAGTCAGGAAAGGCCACCGCGCAAACCAGCAGCAGCGATACTGCGGCTTCGTGCCGTGGTTCATCCCCTTCCTCGAGCCACGCAACACAAGAAGCAAGGATTGAGAACAATTAGGCAGCTCAAAAAGGACATGTCACCAAGAGCCTACACCCACAGGGCAACGCAAACAATGCCGATAACTTCGTGGTAGTCGAAGAGCTCCAGACACGATCACGCCATCCAAACCACAGGNTCCCCCCCCCATTTCCCCGTCCCGGCCCCCTCCGCCGTTCATCAGTGCGCCATACCAAGGAGCTTCAGGGTGGTACACTGCTGCCCACCGCCGGAAAGCAGGTGGGCTTGCGCGATTCTGTCAAAATTCGGCGAATCGTCTCCGTCGCTACTTCCGGTTATTCTCTTAGGTCATTTGTACATAAGCAACGGTTCCATGCCAAAGACCAACAACAAAGAAACACCGTGAACGAGCCTGGATCAATGCCGTTCCCACCGAACCACCCATATCCCCCAAAGCTGACCCCCCCCCCCCCCC